CTCATTACTGCTTTATATCTATTGTTTCTCGACTATTCTGGGACGCTAGCCTTGTAGCAGAGAACTTTTGGTGACGAGAGAGGCAGCAAAGTATAAATGGGTGTCATTACTGTCACTTACTGTTGGAGCTAAGCACTTTAACGTCAGGGGCGAGAAGCGTGTTTTGTTTTCTCTTTAGTCGCTCGTTATGTCCCCATCCACTACCTGCATCTTGTATTTATAAATAGTAACATGCGCCAACCAACACATGTCCTCTCGCACATACCATGCTACACTACTAGTGATGTTACCAGAAACATGTATACTTTTAGCATCTGTGTGGGCCAAGTCCCATGTTGAGATGGCCAAATCCCATATCTGAGGTGGCTAAGTCAGTTCCTTGAGATGGCCAAATCTTATGTCTAGGATGGCCAAGTCGAGTCCTTGACATGGCCAAGATACATACATTACATGGCCAAGTCGAGTCCTTGACATGGCCAAGTCCTGAGTCTGACAAGGCCAAGTTCCATGTCTGAGATGGCCAAGTCACATGACTGACATGGCCGTAGTATGAAACACTATAAGCACCGCAGTCGGAGCCTAATGGACGTACATAAACAAGACACGTCGAAACCAACTTCACTATCGACCAGATAACAAAGAAGCTCTTCGGTTTAGCTGAACATTATTTTAGCTGTGAGTTTAGCTGAACATTATTTTAGCTGTAAGTTTAACTGAGCATTATTTTAGCTGTGAGTTTAGCTGAACATTATTTTAGCTGTGAGTGTAGCTGAACATTATTTTAGCTGTCAGTTTAGCTGAACATTATTTTAGCTGCTGAGAAACAAAAGCTCGGTCACCGTGACCTGCACTAGTTTTCCGCTGTCTGGAAATATTTCTCCCATAATTCGTCTGGGCCGGGCACTACGCCGTGACGTCACGCTGCAGCCACACACAGCGCCGACTGCCGAAAATGACAGTAATCAGGCATTGAAAGGGACAGCCTTTGCCGCCTGATTAAATTTCCTAACCTCAGAGGGAAGGCGAGCTCGTCGTCCGCCATATTACCGTCCGGCGTTCAAGTTTTTAATTAGGTTTTCAAGCTAAAATAATTCAATTCTCTCTTGTGGTTACGCTGGGAGCAAACATGACGTCATCGCTGTTGAGACGATAACAGGAGTGATTCGTGTAGATGTATATCCGGGTCAGTGGGCGTTGACCTTTTAGGGCATTGACTTTTTGAGTTAAAGAAATGGCAGGCGTGAAGAATAGAAGTAGAAAATGTAAGAAATATTTACAGCCATTAGACTGTAGTTTTTATTTTATTTTGGAATATTCGTTTGTATTGTGAAAAAACAAACAACTTTTCTCATCTACCATCATCCAAAGGTTGTAATCCGCTGAACTAAATTATCTTAGTATTTATAGATAACACTTCAAAATTGTAGTTTCAACAAGAGTGTGCTTCAGAAAATAAAATAAAATAACAAGAGCAAAGAATTAGAACCAATACTATCGTTGACGTTCAATCCATCCTCCCCCTCCACCCCCCCCCCTCCCAAATTTCCAGACAATATTTAACTTGTACACGCATGGATGCTTATATTCCTAATGGCTTTTTATAGATGGAAACGATGTCTTACAAAAAGATTTAGCCATTATATATATATATATATATATATATATATATATATATATATATATATATATATATATATATATATATATATATATACATATATATATACATATATATATATATATATATATATATATATATATATATATATATATATATATATATATATATATATATATATATATACATATAGGCCCTTTATATGTATATCTATATTTTTTGTATCTATTAATGTACATGCCTACATAATTACATATTTGTCCATCTACTGACCCAGAATCTACTTATATTTAATTATGTATCTTTGTACGGTTGTATCTATATATCTGTATAATTAGTTATCTATATATCTGTATACTTAGTGATATATATATATATATATATATATATATATATATATATATATATATATATATATATCCAAATTCTGTACGTTAACTTGGCGTTAACCCTTACATTTCTGATCACGTGATTGACATGACCTGTCGTCCTAACCAAGACATTGAGAACCACTGTGTTGTGTTGTGTGTTGTTGTTGTTGTTGTTATTGTTGTTGTCAAGCAATCATACCAAAGCTGTAGACCGACGTGACAAAACCTCAGTAACTACATTTACTTTAGCCTACCCATCAGTACCTACTTGTACTTTAGCTTACCCATCGCCCAACAGTAAATATATCTTCTTGAGCCTTTCCTTTAAAAAAAAAGATGTCTGGTTTTCATGCGACCAGTTTGCACATTTTGTGTTCATCTAAAACTATGGGGACCTGAGTGGAAGAATGAGTGAGCAGGGGGGGGGGGGGTCGCGCGAAGTGTAGAACAGCTTCTGATAAAATAAAAAAATTCCTGTTTAACTAGAAATGAGTAAAAAACCTGGTTTCTCCGCGTGATATCGATGTCGTAAAAAAGTGGTTCGTTCTTATGAATGAACATTTTTTTTACCCTCCACACGTTTGATTTGTTCAACTCGTGATCTAAACTCCTCTACAAAGCCAAACTTGAACCGACAAAAAAAAATTAATCAAAGCGGGAGATTCTAAATTAAATTTTGTCTCGAAATTTGAGATTGATCTTCAGTTTCTTGTCCTGGATATCGTGTGTCATTTCTTTTCTGCTTCTTCCAGCTTGTAATGCTTTTGTCGTTAGTAAGTCCCATACATTCAATGCTTTTGTCGCTAGTAGGTTCCATACATTCAATGCTTTTGTCGCTAGTAGGTTCCATACATTCAATGCTTTTGTCGCTAGTAGGTTCCATACGTTCAATGCTTTTGTCGCTAGTAGGTTCCATACATTCAATGCTTTTGTCGCTAGTAGGTTCCATACATTCAATGCTTTTGTCGCTAGTAGGTTCCATACATTCAATGCTTTTGTCGCTAGTAGGTTCCATAAATTTAATGCAACACCCAACCCATTAATTACCCCTACATTCCTCCATCAAGCACTACCCAACCCATTAATTTCCCCATCAAGCACTACCCAACCCATTAATTTCCCCCATCAAGCACTACCCAACCCATTAATTTCCCCCATCAAGCACTACCCAACCCATTAATTTCCCCCATCAAGCACTACCCAACCCATTAATTTCCCCCATCAGGCACTACCCAACCCATTAATTTCCCCCATCAAGCACTACCCAACCCATTAATTTCCTCCATCAAGCACTACCCAACCCATTAATTTCCCCCATCAAGCACTACCCAACCCATTAATTTCCCCCATCAAGCACTACCCAACCCATTAATTTCCCCATCAAGCACTACCCAACCCATTAATTTCCCCCATCAAGCACTACCCAACCCATTAATTTCCCCCATCAAGCACTACCCAACCCATTAATTTCTCCCATCAACCACTACCCAACCCATTAATTTCCCCCATCAAGCACTACCCAACCCATTAATTTCCCCATCAAGCACTACCCAACCCATTAATTTCCCCATCAAGCACTACCCAACCCATTAATTTCCCCCATCAACCACTACCCAACCCATTAATTTCCCCCATCAACCACTACCCAACCCATTAATTTCCCCCATCAACCACTACCCAACCCATTAATTTCCCCCATCAACCACTACCCAACCCATTAATTTCCCCCATCAACCACTACCCAACCCATTAATTTCTCACTCCCATTTGTCAAAGATTATCCTTCTCAGGGCCAGAAAAAAATCGGATTTGGCCCATTATCCCAAGCTCCAATAAAACAGCGCACTGATCTAATCCCTGGTGCGGCCACGGTTCTAGATGAACATGACACACGAAATGGCGGGCACCGATTTATTCGCCTTCACGCCATGCCCGTCCAGCATATTAATAAAACTCGTCTGACGTCACGCCTTGCACGGCTGTATACACATCTATCTTCACGTTCGATTTCTAACCGGTTCCGGTTTCGTTTTCCGGTCAGCCCCTATTCTGTCTTGGAGACTTGGTGGTTCAGATTTAGTGGTTCAGGTTTGGTGGTTCGTTTGGTGGTTCAGGTTTGGTGGTTCAGGTTTGGTGGTTCGTTTGGTGGTTCAGGTTTGGTGGTTCAGGTTTGGTGGTTCGTTTGGTGGTTCAGGTTTGGTGGTTCAGGTTTGGTGGTTCGTTTGGTGGTTCAGGTTTGGTGGTTCAGGGTTGGTGGTTCAGGTTTGGTGGTTCAGGTTTGGTGGTTCAGGTTTGGTGGTTCGTTTGGTGGTTCAGGTTTGGTGGTTCAGGGTTGGTGGTTCAGGTTTGGTGGTTCAAGTTTGGTGGTTCAGTTTTGGTAGTTCAGGTTTGGTGGTTCAGGTTTGGTGGTTCGTTTGGTGGTTCAGTTTTGGTGGTTCAGGTTTGGTGGTTCAGGTTTGGTGGTTCAGATTTGGTGGTTCAGGTTTGGTGGTTCAGGTTTGGTGGTTCAGGTTTGGTGGTTCAGGCTTGGTGGTTCAGGTTTGGTGGTTCAGTTTTGGTGGTTCAGGTTTGATGGTTCATGTTTGGTGGTTCAGGTTTGGTGGTTCAGGTTTGGTGGTTCAGGTTTGGTGGTTCAGGTTTGGTGGTTCAGGCTTGGTGGTTCAGGTTTGGTGGTTCAGGTTTGGTGGTTCAGGTTTGGTGGTTCAGGCTTGGTGGTTCATGTTTGGTGGTTCAGGTTTGGTGGTTCAGGTTTGGTGGTTCAGGTTTGGTGGTTCAGGTTTGGTGGTTGAGGTGTAGTGGTTCAACGTTTTTCAAATGTGTTTGTGGGGAAAGTTTAAAATAAGCCCAGATGTTTACTTTGACAAGAACAAACAGAAAAAAAACTCTAAATATAAAAAAAAATAATAAAGTACTAATTCAGAACCGACAGTCCATCTAGCAGACAAAGTAGAGCTCATCTGACCCCTTGACCAAAGGTACAATGGGGACGATTTTAAATTTTGTTTTTCCAGATGCGCAATGGTTTCTTCCTTGCGGTGGAGAGTTTGATCAAGACATCGGGATTTGGCATGCAAGGCGCCAGGATCATCTACCTTCTGAGGAATCTGGGGGCACACATCAACAGACAAAACGAGGTTTGAGCAATTGTAATAGTATGGTCCAAAACTTAAAAAAAACAACAAATATTTGATAAGCGATCCTTTCTGGGAGTATTCTCATCAACTCCCCAAAGTTTTATGGCGATCGGATAAAAGGTGTAGTAATGCACGCGCGCACACACAATTTCATTCATAAATAGATAGATATATACTTTTAACCAGCGTCGCGATCGGATAAAAGGTGTAGTAATTCACGCGCGCACACACAATTTCATTCATAAATAGATAGATATATACTTTTAACCAGCGTCGCCCCCCCCCCCCCCGGAAAATTTAGTCACCCCCCCCCCACCCAAAAAAATAAATTAAAAAAAATCATGTTTCACGTGCCTCCCATCCCCTGAGAAAAAAAGGCTGAAAGAAGCACTGGTGGTGTTATGCTTGTCGAATAAATCCTGCCTAAAGATGTATGATTCCAATCAATAAATTAAAATTATTGAGTTCATTCTTCCAATCAATAAGTCAAAATTGTTGAATAGTCCTACAATCAACACCTTTTTTTTTAGATTTATCCCTCCAATCCCAGATACCCAGATACGCCCATTCCCCCCCCCCCCCCCCCCCAATCTCAGTAAGCATCAGACGGCTCAAGCTGGGGGCACTGGCACACCTGACCACGTGCATTGTAGCAGACGAGAAATTCATCCCGCATAAAATACCAGGCGTCTTCCATGGCTAAATTGAAAATTAAAATCCCTGACGGCGAATTTTTTTTTTACACTTTAAAATTGTTTTTTTTTGTCTGTTTTAAAAATAGCATTCTTGTCACGTGATTATCGTGTGATTGAATGTTTTTGATTAAAATAGAGTTTATTATTTTTTTTTTTCTGTTTTAAATTTACAATTTGAGTCTCATCACATTTACTGTAGCGAAAGATCACGCCTGTGAAATTGTTTTTAATACATTTAGTAGAGATGAAATAAATAGTCGTAGAATGTTTTATTGTGAAAATAATTAATCGGCGATACACTGACTTTTATCAATGTTACACATACGTTACATGGATGTTCATGAACGTTACATAGAAACGTCACAAACCTTATAAAGACAGCAGCCTACATACTCATGTCATAAACATTATTAAGACATTGCATACACATGTTGCAAAACTTATACAGACGTTACATACACAAACCTTAAATAGACATACATATGTCACAAACCTTATACAGACATTACATACATCTGTTACAAACTTTATACAGATGTTATATACACAACCCTTATAGAGACGTTACATAGAAAGTACATACACATGTCACAAACCTTATAATATAGACGTTACATACACATGTTACATAGACATTACATATACATTGTATACACATTTTACAAACCTTATACAGACGTTACATACACAAACCTTAAATAGATGTTACATACATATGTTACAAACCTTACACAGACATTACATACATATGTCACAAACCTTATACACACGTACATACACATGCTACAAACCTTATATAGACGTTACATACACAAACCTTAAATAGACGTTACATACATATGTCACAAACCTTATACAGACGTTACACATACACATATTACAAACCTTATAAAGACGTTACAAACACAAACCTTAAATAGACGTTACACACACAAACCTTATACAGACATTACATACATGTTACAAACCTTATATAGACGTTACATAGACATGTTACAAACCTTATACAGACGTTACACATACACAAACCTTATACAGATGTTACATACACGTTGCACACCTTATATAGACGTTACATAGACAAACCTTATACAGACATTACACAATTATGTTACAAACCTTATACAGACGTTACATACACAAACCTTAAATAGACGTTACATAGACATGTTACAAACCTTAAATAGACGTTACATATACAAACCTTATACAGACGTCACATAGACAAACGTTAAATCGATGTATCATAAAATGAACACAAAACACAGCTGATCTCTGAGGTTGCTGATGCCCTAATTGACCCCGCGTTAAACACCCAATCAATTCTTCCCTTTGATTCAGCCATAACCCACGTGACAAAGCCCTAGTCCATTACGGGAATGAGCGGGAGTTGTTTGCGCTTTAGCCATCAGAGAAATGCCATGGTTTCCTCTCTGGTTTTAACGCTCTCTAATTGTAGGCACCAGATTTAAACGCTCTCTAATTCTAGTACGGCACCAGATTTAAACGCTCTCTAATTTTCGTACGGCACCAGATTATTTTAACGCTCTCTAATTCTCCTACGGCACCAGATTATTTTAACGCTCTCTAATTCTAGTACGGCACCAGATTATTTTAACGCTCTCTAATTCTAGTACGGCACCAGATTTAAACGCTCACTAATTCTAGTACGGCACCAGATTTAAACGCTCTCTAATTCTAGTACGGCACCAGATTTAAACGCTCACTAATTCTAGTACGGCACCAGATTTAAACGCTCACTAATTATAGTACGGCACCAGATTTAAACGCTCTCTAATTCTAGTACGGCACCAGATTTAAACGCTCACTAATTCTAGTACGGCACCAGATTTAAACGCTCTCTAATTCTAGTACGGCACCAGATTTAAACGCTCACTTATTCTAGTACGGCACCAGATTTAAACGCTCTCTAATTCTAGTACGGCACCAGATTTAAACGCTCTCCAATTCTAGTACGGCACCAGATTTAAACGCTCTCTAATTCTAGTACGGCACCAGATTTAAACGCTCACTAATTCTAGTACGGCACCAGATTTAAACGCTCACTAATTCTAGTACGGCACCAGATTTAAACGCTCTCTAATTCTAGTACGGCACCAGATTATTTTAACGCTCACTAATTCTAGTACGGCACCAGATTTAAACGGTCACTAATTCTAGTACGGCACCAGATTATTTTAACGCTCTCTAATTCTAGTACGGCACCAGATTATTTTAACGCTCTCTAATTCTAGTACGGCACCAGATTTAAACGCTCTCTAATTCTAGCACGGCACCAGATTATTTTAACGCTCTCTAATTCTAGTACGGCACCAGATTATTTTAACGCTCTCTAATTCTAGTTCGGCACCAGATTTAAACGCTCTCTAATTCTAGCCTTATACCGGACCCCCATCAGGCCTATATTTTTGTCACCGTAACAAGTACCATGGATCTCAAACTGTTCCACATCGACAACAGCTGTTATTACAAAATTTAGTCCCCGGCGCTGTTAGTGCCCATCCCGTTTATAACCCACACAATAATTTCTTACCACCCCTTCCCTCATCCACACGAGGTGTCCACTTTGAACGACCCCCCCCCCCCCAGGAATATAGATATAATGGTTATCTTAAATCTTACTTGCAATTAACTATATCAATTTTTACGAGAATCTATGTGTGCGTATCAATCTTTTCTACTGGGATTGATTTTTCACGGAACTGTCTGTAAAATAATCAATAATATTATAAGTAAAATCTATAATGTGTTTAGAAAAATTAATTTGATACATTAAAAGAATATCAAATGTATGAAGATCGCTTGTTTTTATTTAAATGATAATTAATAAAAACCAATTTTATTTTTATATAAACTATAAAACATTACGCATCGTTTATGAAAGAGGTTTTAAAAGCTCTCGACATACGCAGCTTTACAATTAGTTGCCATGGCAACATAGAGCTCATTGCACCTATTTCTCTTTTCATACATCGCCTTCTCACCCAAGTGGAACTAATTTTGTTACTATAAATATGGCTCGTGATTTCATTTCTTAAATCAGCTTCTGTTTTAATTACAAAAACACTTCAACTCTTCGGTTCGATTTTTTTTTCATTCAGGATTTTACACGTTTGCGTTTTTAAGTATATTTATGTTGGTGATAAATGTAATTTGTACATATACACAACCCCACCCAGTCCAAAAGTCGTACCCCCTTCTTGTGGAGGGAATAAATTCAACATCCCGTCTGGTTAGCGTAGGCCTAAAGTCACTTCGGTGAAGTTTCTATGTCTTTTCCACTTTTAGCTTGCTGTAGATAAAGTGTGAAAATATGGATGGATATCTCATTAGACACTCTTGGACCCCCACTCCTATATTTTTAGACACTCTTGCCCCCCCCCCCACCCATACATTAGACACTCTTGGCCCCATATCCCTATATTAGACACTCTTGCCCCCCCCATCCCTTTATTAGATACTCTTACACCCCCACCCCTACATTCGACCCTCTTGCGCCCCCACCCCTACATTACACCCTCTTGGCCCCCCCCCACTCCAACATTAGACACTCCCCCCCCCCATCCCTATATTAGACACTCTTGCACCCCCACCCCTACAAAGACACTCTTGCACCCCTCCCAGTGGTAGGTACTTCTTAAATAACGTGTGTTTTATAGTGGCTTCTAAATACCTTTAATGTACTGGTTCTGCATTTAAAGATGGACTCTACTTCCTCTGCAATGAAGAAAATATCCAAAGATAAATACAAATCTACGTTTAGCAAAGTACACAGCCAAGCAAAAAAAAAATCTTTTCCCTTAAAAATTGCTGACGTGAGTTTTGTGTTGGCTCAGCCAAATACAAAATGTGTGTGTGTGGGGGGGGGGGGGAATAAAAGAAACAAGTAATATTGTTGGGCGCGCGCGTTAACTACTCTATGGGAGTCAATATTCCATTCGCAATTTATCGTCTGCTATTGACCGAGTATTTCTTCGCCTTTGTCCTGGTCCAATCCAACTTAGTCCAGTCCCAACTTTCTCGTCAAATCTCGCGAGTGTTTGAATTATTTCCCAGCTCCCAGAGTGGATTTCTTAGCGTCTGCAAGGGTCGCTATTGGGGTCGTTTGTTTACGTACTTCCATTCTTCGCGTGGCGGGAGAAATTTCTAGACTTCGATCATCAGACGTCAGGGTGTTTGCGTTTAAAAAGTTTCGTCGCTTTTGTTAGACAGAGAAACAGACCTGCCTTTTGCTTATGATTTGAATGATTCGTACAGTTGTTCGAAAACGAATAAAAAAAAGTT